CTAAGGATTATTCTAGCCGTATAGCTAACGTACATTACACATCTAAACAATAAAACGTTCATTGACGATAGAGCGAAATCGAAATCACCTTCACACTATTAGAATTTGGAAACGAAAAGCGTCACCAGTGTTAGAAAACGGGCGTAACAATGGTGACGATGGTTTCCATTTTTCAATTATATTGAAGTCATATCTGTAGTATGATAAGTTTTGAAGCTATTGGCGGTATAGTCCAAATAAATGGAAAATGTACACCTGAGTGATTGAACCTCTCAAAAATTCTTTGATAATTTCTGTACGACAGCTACAAAAAATTACGTTATTGTGCCATAAGATAGCCTTACCACATATTTCCTTTCTATGCAAGTTTCAAACAAACGAATTCGAATAAGAATATAATTTTACTGCTATGGTTTCACGTTTGAATATTCTGGCGATAAATATTGGACGTTTGTAGCTGACCAGTTACGGAACTAAGGAATGGCATCATTGTTTGAAATGCTGAGAGCAAACTGGCCAGCAGTTTTTGACTCAATCAATGTGACACGTCGAATTTAAAATGTAGTAATTAAAAAATAACTTCACACCAAACTCTTTCAAATTTTACTTAAGTATGCTTCAAAAAGATACATATGGCTGATTCCCACTCACATAAGTTCAACAAACACTGAGCTGTGAGACAAAACGCCGAGATATTCTAAGTCTCTTATTTGTAATTGTATGACCAGAACCAAGATTCCTTCTGGGACAGTTTCTTCGTCCATGTAAATGGCGCATTTCCTTTTACCGCTGAATGAACCGTTGCTGCAAATATATTCAGATTTATGAATATTCTATACGAAGGTTGAAACAGGTTATTAAATCAAAATTTAGATGTGAAATAATGCTGGTAATATATAGTCTCAGTCACAAAGTATGTTAAAATTGATGTGCTGCCAACTTATCACACACGACGAAATTATTTGAAGTATAAAAGAAAAAGCGTTACAGCAGGTCATGTGGCTGATCGCCGAAGATGTAGGACGAAACAAAGATCAGAAATTTGCAAAAATTTGCAAACCTGGTGCAGCTATGAATCCGGCTGACCGGTGCGATGTATAGTGAAGGTGTACCAAGGTATTTGATGACCATCGACAATGCGATGAATGGTGGCAACTTTGCGGGCTACAATTTCGGATAGATTGGCAATGTTAATTAATTGTGCGTGACAGCATACAGCGTAAACCGGTCGAATAATGAATGTGCGTGTAGCCACTTTATCACTTCTCATCAATTGAGTGTGGGAAATAATGTATTGCTTTGGTGTTATTTTTTCGCCATCTGAGACTAACGGAATCAAAGGGTGTAAACACCAGAGAAACGCGGATATACGATATCTGACCGTAAGAAATGCAAGTTCAGACTGACATTAGGAAATAATTACTACTGCTGGCAAAGTTTACATTCCACTTTCCAAGCAGATCTGCCGCAACGAGGGCCTTGTATTGCCTTCGAAAATGTCTATAGCCAATGTGCCACTCCCATGCAGGAAATGTTGTGAGAAATATGGGACATAGTAATTAGGAAATCTTCACAAGCAGAAATACGGCTAATATAATCTAAGGTTAACGGTTATCTCAAGGATAAAAGATGCACTAGCGTTCATCATCTTGCTAACAATGAAACTTCGTGTGCTATCGATACTCTTTACACAAGTGCAGAACAATTTACAAACGCTTAGGAAATTAGATTTTAAATAGTGCGTCGATACAGTTAATAAATCTGGCTAGAAGGGTGGCAGCAAAGATGCTGCTCATGTTTTCTAGAAGGATGGTTTTTGTGGCCTGAGCATAAATCATTATAATCACCATAATGTTCTGTAGGTCTGGTGCCACTACGAACCTTCAAAGCAACTGTCATTCTCTTCAAGCACAAGCTTAAGAGATCTTTGATAATAACTTGTGAAGAAAGGGAAAATTATTTGCAAATTCATTAATGCACTAAAGAAGTAAAGTAGAACAGTTACAAAGATTACGTCATAGCAATGACTGTAGCATGATTCACGTAAAGGTCTCGAACGTTTTTTTTCAACGATTTATTTCTATCTTCTTCGAGAGATCTCAAAATCTCCTACGGTTCAGTTTGAAAGCAGGGTCAGGTGGAATCAACACACTTGCATATTTTGTGCAACGCACAGTTCTGAAACTTCACCTAGACAAGGGAATAAGAATAATTAAGAGTACGTTCCTTAACGTTTCATCGCTTTTGATATCAAAGAGATAAGGCACCCTTTGGCTCTTCTGATGCTGGCATCAACCAGAACGTTCTACAGATGATTTTGGAATCTTGTCTCAAAGTAATCGATTTGTGCCGTTAAACGCACCTATTAGTGACAGCTGCCTGTCAATCTCAGAGTTCCGCAAGGTTCACATCCATTTTTACTACTTTTCGTTCCGCCCAAATATAAATTTAGACTTATACAATAACAACTGCTTGAAATATGCAAATGATTGTACCGCTGTTGCAGTTATCATGTACCGAAATAATATAAGAGCGACAAGATACCGGTCCATCTGCTACGGATTTATTCTTATCTTGAAGAATGTCGTTATTCTTCTAACATGCGCTGCCACGACTTCCTCAACCATTCAGATTTTACTGCGTCTAGGTAAAATCGTTAATGATGAGTTAGCATGGTTTATTTAAGGAAAGTCAACTTTGTCTTCTATGCTTCCGCTTCATTAGAGCCTCATTTAATTTACGTGCCAATTTTCACGGTGCCGCATAATCCAAATTATGATGTATGCTTCACAGCTACATTTTAAGCCATCAACAAGAAGTGATTTTGCACTACTGCGGCTACATATCAAGGCAGTCGCAAGACCTGGAAGACGGAAATTCGGTCTCGTGACTAAGACTATTGTGACATTATTTGACAGTTCAGTCTCAGTTGCTGAATGGATTCTATAAGATATTATCCACCTGTAGGCGACCGAGCAGCAGTCTGCTACTCTAGGAGTTCCACTACTTGAGAAAATTTCACCAGTCTGTATCCAATAACCAAGCTATAGTGAAAACCAGTCGTGTTCAACATAATATAGCTCATAGCCTAATACTAATACAACTAATATAACTTAACTCATAGCTTAATGAGTCCGGCCTTAAAGTATTGTATTTGCTTTCTATAGGTATTAGTACAGGTATTCTACACATATAATTTTAGGTACTCTACCCGTTTTAATCCATATCGATTCATGGGAATAAGCACATCTATTCAGAAAATTATGACATATGCGGGATGCATTCTTTAACTAGTGCGCAAAGGTCTTTCGCTGTTTTCTTGCTCATTTCCAGAACCTCTTC